AATGGGGAAGCTCCTATTATTCCTTTAATTATGCTGGTATAATAGGCACAGGCCCAGCTATTAAATATTAAAGAAAACTAGTAAATGAGTTTCTTTTTAAATGCCATTTTGTAAAGGTTGACTGTGTTATTGATATAGTACAACTTGTACATTTATATTGATATCGGCATCTGTTATTGGCTAAAATTTTGGATTTATTATCTATTATCAGAATATAAGTATAACATCATATTGCTGCATCTCTAAATTAAATACTTGATTTAGTAACGTGGTACAGTACAAAGCAATAATAAAAGCTAAGTAGCTATGCCTTACAGTTACTTGTGTTAGTAGCTTGTTGCTCCTTCATTGCGTGTGTGCAAACCCACCAGTAGTAGTAGCCTACGTGGTCAACTGCAGATAGTAGCTTGAAGGTAGAATGGGGCAAAGAACATCCTATTTGGTTTTCTAAAAGCAGAGGGTTGCAGTACAGTAGCATCCTCAAGTTTTTTGACGGCTTTTATTTTTGTTATTACAGTACATGTAACTTGGCAGTGCTGCAGTACTTGATGGGCATAATACAGCAAAGATTAGCAGAGGAAAAAGCTAGCTACAAAGTTCTCTTCCCTACTTTCCACTACTTAGCCTTTCTAAAAAAATGTACTGTATGTATTAATGATGGGCAGTAGTACCTCAGTTAATAATTTATAATACTAACCCTTGCTGCCACTGGTATCCTCATTTTCACTTGACTCGATATCTTCAACAATTCTCTTATCATCTAGCTTTTTTCCTTAAGAAATATGCATACAATAATGCGTGCAGTAACCTTAAGCTATTGCTTGTCCGTGCAGATGTAACCAATACAAATCTAAACTTACTGTGAGTTTGTATTATAGTCACTGAAAAATGTTTTCCTCTAGCATTCCAGATAACTTTACTACCAAAGTACAAATCGTCCTGACACAGCTTTTCTCCTGTTTCTGTTTCCTAATATCTGCAGTTCACACAAGGCTCTTTATGTCTTCCATTACTTTTAATGAGTTCAATAGTACACCAAACTATTATGCAAAAACAGACTTGGAGTTGTTAGTATAGATGTAACTGACGAGCTGATTCCTCTTCTGTAAGACTTTTTGCCATGAGCTCAAAACGCATCAAATGCTCTTGAATCAACCAATCAGAATCAACAAAATGAATGACGGCACACAACGCTTCACCAACCCTAGTCATACTATCAAATATAACTGCTAATCACTTTTCAGTCATTTTTGTTGTTCCTGTTCCAATGTAAAGGAAATCAAATCTGACATATGCCTTCTATCTGTAAGATGCAAGCCATTTCTTCTTGGAGCTCTTCCAAGATTTAAACCAAAACATTACAATTGGTTTGGTTTTACTCCCAAAAAAACTATTCAACAAAGTTGCTTCATGACTTGTGTGTATATTCTGAAGCTGTAAGCAGACATCTGTGCATCCCAACTGAAACAAATGTTCTTTTTATGCTAATTCCATTGATACATGCATGCATGGTAGTTCAGTTTACTAATATAAGCCAGGCTTAAGGTTGCTAATTTGGACATACAAGTGGCATTGTCATGTGATCACCAAAAGACTTCACCAGCAGTGATTGCATAGATTTATATTCTACATGTACATAGCCAGGCTATACTACTTTGTGAAATAATTACATTGTGTTAACTCCTGCGTTAATGCTGCTGTTAAGAATAGCACTGAACACAGCTCCTGGAGAAGCTGATCGAGTCAACCACATTAGTGATGCTAGATTCATTCCTCCGTATCTTGGCAATGAAGAGCTCTTTTGCATCAGATTTTGAAACAAACTTTTTGGGTACATTATACTTTGCATAGAGTTGGAAGTCAATAATGGAATTTTGGCTAAACAATAATCTCACGTATTCTGCAAGTGAAGGTCTGCTAAAATTGCTTTCTAAGCATTGTCAGAAAAGTTGATATGTATTATATAAACAGTTTCCCTAATTCTGTGGTAGACTCAAACTACATGTAATTGACCACATTGAAGGGGATATTCAATGAAATGTATGATTAATGAAGACTCAGCTGGGAGTTCTAACCAAGGGTTAGGACTGGAAGACCTTGTGTTGGTGTTCAAGCTTGTTAGAGCGCAGTCATCCTTCTCGTGGTCCCATGAGAAGCATCTAGAGCACGTCCGGATTGGTGTGGGTGAAGCCCCTCCCAGCACAGTAGCAGCCATGAGTGACGAATTCACTTCGGACCATTGTAGTGGCATTCCTGCCATTTTTTGTTGGCTTATTATAACTGACCCAGCCTAAACATCTGTGATTCCTTGCCATGACCTTGCCATATGCCATTAAATCCCTGGTCTCTGTCATGCACAGACACTGCCTCAAATGAATGTCACGCATTCGCTGAACTGATGTGGGGGCAGATGACCCTAGTTCTTGCAGTGTATTAAAAAGAGCCACATTATTGTGGAGCAGTTCTTTAAGATCAATAAGCACTCCCCTCTCAACCTTATCCACTGCTTCTGCCGGTATTGGCAGAAGAGCAAAGGACATAGCAAGTAACAACTTTAACTTGGTACACACGTTGTTCTTCTGGTAAAGTCTCTCCTTTAACATTTGCTGCCTCATCACTAGATTGCAATGCATGAGAGATATCCATTTCAGTCTGGCCTTTCTTTGATAACTGCTCTTTTCCAGACTTGTGCTTTGAAGAATTTATATGAATACGTACTACACTGCATTTAACAGAGAGTTCTTTCCGACAGCCTGCACAAAAGAGCTTATTATTTGAGTCAGTTAAATGTTCTCCCTTAAAAGTATTGACTGGTTGGTTGCTGCATAGATAGGAAATGGTTGAAAACCATCATAAAAAATGGTCAAAACAGGCATAACTGGTTGAAAAGTGGGCACACCCACTTCCTGGCCCTACCATTAACTTGCACCCAGATCCACCACTGGGAGGCAGTACAGTAGCATCCTTAAGTTTTTTGAAAGCTGCTACTACAGTACGTGTCACTTGGTGGTACTGCAGTACTCGATGGGTATAATACAGCAAAGATTAGCAAACTAAAAGAACTACTTAAGAAGTTTTCTTCCGCTACTTTACATTTATCTTTTTTAAAACTGTACTGTACATGTAGGTATCAATAATGGGCTGTGGTGTAGTTTTATGAATTGAGATGATATTTATTGATATAATGATAACTAGTACAAATCACACCCACATAATAGGTAATAAGTAAATTAGTAGTACTAGCACCTTTAGTATATGTAGGTATTGTACGCTCGCAGACATGGCACAAGATATATCAACATTTGCAGGTCACCTTTCGCTCCAATCGTAAGGTCCTCTTCAGTAAATACCTCTGGCTTGACTTGAATCTTGAAAGGCAGTATTGAATAATGCCTCCCCTTAGTGTAACTGATGACCAAATCTGTTTGAAATAAACAGGCACTTGTACACTAACAGCCACATCCAACTCTTGATGATCCAATCCTGTATCAGTGCTGTTGTATAATACTGTTAATTTCTAATTCGTCATGTCATGCAATATTAAAATTTTATTTCCATCTACTCTTGTTATGTTAGCATAGTGCTCAGTACTCTAATAATCAACAGCAACAAAAGTAGATTTAACAATTTTACTGAAAACAACACAAATATTGGTCAACAATTTTAATTGCCTGTTAATCAGTCTTAGAGTGCCCTTCTTACATTAACACATTTATGATTTATTGCCATTGTTTCAGTTGCTGCAGTGGAGTCTTGAAACCTTTTTGTTACATAAGCTACAAGAAAAAGTAGATTACAATAGCTAAACAGTAAACACATTGTTTTAATTTTTAATATGTAGTTTGCTGTTCCTTTGTTGTGCATGGGCAAAGCCACCAGTGGTAGTAGCACACGTAGTCGGTAGCTCCACAGTAGAATTGAGCCAAGAACCTCCTAAATTGGCTTCTAAAATCAGAGAGTGGCAGTACAGATGAACTTGGAGAGCACAGACAGCTAAGTGAGGCATCCTTCAATTTTTGAGAGCCTTTTGAGCGTGTGAGCACTTGCACATGTGACTGGTGGTATTGCTGTACTTCCTGGGCAAAGAGTAACGAAGAGTAGAAGTACAAATACTACCTACAAACTACCTGTGTACTACTTGCACTACTTAGCTTTTTTGCTTTTTACTGTACTTGCAAAACCTGTAGGAGGCACGACCATAACATCCTTTTCAGAAATTATAGCAGAAATTGCATCTTTCTACTCTTTTTTGTTGGAATTTAAGCCCTAAGTCAAGCATTGCTTCTGCACCAAAATCTCCAGTTTATAAATGGTTATGATTCATAATGTATCACTGCACAAATCTGTGTGGTGAGTTGACTTTGTGTATTGCATTGGTCTTGACCTTCCGTTTTTTTGTGAAGGTCAGGCCATACCTTACTAGGTTGCATTCAGTGATGGAGTAACATTACTAAGTACAAGTGTAGGATTTGCCCTAATTGTCTCCCACAATTTTTGAACAAGCTACACTTAGCAGACTGCTTTGAGGACCTCATCTTAACCTTGAGACTCTATTGGTATGACTATCGTAGCTCAGAACCTTTTCTATAAGCACTGTCAAGAATTCTCAAAATGGTTGCTGTTAATTAAGCAGGGATATTGAGGCTTTTGACTGATTATCTTTACACAAGCACAATGGTTTTCCACGTTCGTATGCCTGTATTAATATTTTTGCAGTTATTTAAATAATTAATAATCTCACAAGTATATATAATATGTGACGTGAGATTGGAATTCCACAAATGGCAAGGCGAATATATGACAATGTATTTGGCCGACAAAAATACTCGAATCCATAGCAAATTTTAAAGATTTTATTTTAATTTTAATAAATTATCTCACGTGACCAGCCACATTGGCCTTAAAATGTGAGAAATACCCGAAGGAATTAAATACATAAATCAATGATGAAATAGGTAAAAACAATACCTGTTATATACATAAAACAGGTATACCCTAAATGTATGCATGTAAGAAGTCTACCAAAACATGCCTGGGTAAATGAAGGATTATGTCTATAATGAGATAGTGAATAATAATTAATGTCTATAATGAGATAGTAAGTAAATCAGTATCAATCAGATCATAACAAGAGCACAATCCCTAGCTGTCTTGTGAGCCTAAAGGGATAAATAAGGGATGGGACAGGCAAATAGGGGGGAGGTGTCATATATTCGCCTTGCCATTTGTGGAATTCCAATTTCACATCACATATTGCATATACTTGTGAGATTATTAATTCCACATCATGGCAAGGCTTCATATATGACAATGTATTGTTCAAAGAATTAAATGAATAAAAGCACCCACCTGATGGAACAATATCCAGATGTGGCTCAGAAATGGGTTTATAATAAAACCTCTCAAAAGTAGACCGTCTAGACCATCCAGCACACTTTAAGATATCTTCCACAGGAACTCCTGTGGATCTAGCCCTTGAGCTTGCTGCAGCTCTCGTAGAGTGAGCCTGGAAGGCATCAGTATCAATCCCTGCCTCCTTCATTGTAGCCGTTATCCACCTACTGATGGTACTAGATGCTACTGGCTTATGATGACGGTTAAAGGAGAGAAATAAGGGATTAGCCATACCAGATCCCTGGGGGCGAAAGGAGAGGGTAGCTCTTTCATACATGTAGCTCTCCAGAGTAGACACAGGGCAGAGGATTGGTTCTGTTATCAGCCTTTTAATAAATATTGATCTGGGTGGTCCAGATCTCCTAGTCTTGGAGGGACTTGCTAGTTGAAATGTTACTCCCTCTTGTGAGAATGAACGAAAACGTAAGTCCAGAAGAAAAATATCAGAAGAATGAGCAGCTGAAGATAAGGCTAGTAACATTGCCAATTTATAAGACAACTGCTTCAAAGAAAGAGTGTCTGAATGACCCCGGTTATTCTGGAAAAGGGAGATTACCACATTCACATCCCATGTACTCCTATATTTAGGCAATGGTGGTCTTTTATTAAACATACCTTGGAGGAGTCTTGCTATCAAGGGGTGCTGTCCCACAGGAACCTCACCAATAGGAGGGAGAGTAGCTGAGAGAGAAGATCGAATTGAATTAAGAGTAGAATACTGCAAACCAGACTGAAAACCTGAAGTTAAAAACTCTACAACATCTTCTATAGATGCTGAAAGGGAATTGGTGTTATTTGATTGAGACCAAGAGCACCATTTTCTCCAGGCAACTGCATGGGACTTTTCAGTGCCCTTCCTCCAGGCTGAGCATAAGAGCTGAAATGCTTCAACTGAAATGTCCTTGTAGACCGGAGACTCTCCAGGCGGTCAGACTGAGAGAACCATCCAGAACTAGAGGGTGAAACTCTCCTAACGGATTCCTCAGCAGGCTGTGCTCCTCTGGAAGGATGAGAGGATAATCAAAAGGCTGACTAGAACTGGGTACCAAATCTGAGATGGCCAGTTGGGAGCAATTATCACCACCTTCCTCAACCTCTCTTGACTGATCTTCTGTAGCACTCTGCCTAGAAGGAGAAAGGGAGGAAAGGCATAACAGCTGAGACCCCAGCTCTGAGCTAGAGCGTCTGAAGCTAAAGCCTCTGGGTCTGGGTGATAGCTGAAATATGACTCCAGTTGGGAATTGTGGCGGGCAGCAAAAAGATCTATATCGAAAGGACCCCACTTCCTCTGTAACTTCCTGAACACTACCTGGTCCAACCTCCAGTCGCTCGACTCCAACTTCCTCCTGGACAGTAAATCTGCTAAGCAGTTCTGTGAACCTGGGATGTGTTCTGCATATACTGTTAAGTTCCTCTGCAAGCACTAGAACCATATTGAGACTGCCAAGTCTGACAAAGTCTTGGAGTGAGTACCACTCTTCTTGTTTAAGAATGCTATGGCTGTAGTATTGTCCATCAATAATCTGATGTGCTGGTGGGATAGCTCTGATGCAAATAGAGTTGCACCGATATGCTATTTCAACCGATACACCAATAACCGATATAATAAGCATAAGAAAACCGATATTTATTACTGATATGATATAATTGTTAGTATTAATTAAGAAATGATTCAACATCAAATAATCAATTACAAATTCATCAGTTTTATGTTGTTTTTTAATAAAAAGGAGTGTCTCTGCATTTTCTGGTGCGAGGCAATTCCTTTTGTCATCATAAATGTTCCTGGCACTTGAAAACAGCCTCTCTGATGATACCGAAGTAGGTGGCACACATAAATATTTTTGCGCAATTTTGGGACAAAGCAGGGAATCTTTTAGAGTTTTCAGCCCACCACTGAAATCCAATTTTCTGGCCAAATGGTACAAGGGGCTCAGAAATATACATACTTAACTCATCTGCTCTCTCTTCTTCATCAAATGAAGTGCCACTTTCTTCTAAAATTTCATTAAACGTTTTCCATATTCCAGTACAATGGTGTTTAGATGGTGGCTCTTCTAGACTATCTCCTGAATCAGTGGCACTCCCCATTAAAGAACGTACAGTAGCTTCTGCTTTGGTCTTTGTACGTGTAGAAATAAAAAACTTGTTCTTAAATCGAGGATCTATTAATGTAGCAACTATCAGTAACTCATTGTCTT